CTGCCCTGCTGGCTTGGGTTGGGCTTGCCAGTCCCAGCCCCTCCTGGAGCTCACACCACAGCTCCAGCAGGTTTTTATACCCTGTCCCCTGGTGACAACCCAGTGGCTGCCCATGTGCAGCTGCCTCTCTTAACCCACCCGCCCTGTCTGCCACTTTCAGCCACTTCTTGGAGAAATGCGTCATGAATAACTACTTTGGCATTGGTTTGGATGCGAAGATCTCCCTGGAGTTCAACAACAAACGCGATGAGCACCCCAAGAAGTGCAGGTTGGCTGAAACCCCCCAGATTTCCTGGGAAAAACATGTACCCTCCTGGCTCTCTGATGCCCGCACCAGGAGGGACCACCAGGATGCCAGGAGCCACGGGGTTGGCTCAGGGCTGCTATGCCTGGCTGGGGACCCCTTCCTGTGGCAAGTTTTTCACCTGCATGCAGTGCTGTGGTGCTGGGGTGAGCACCCCTGGGTGGGCAGCAGATTGCGAACATCCCTGGGAAGGGGGAGAGCTGCTGCAAGGCTCCAGCTGCCACTGCTCCGTGGGTGTGTGAACAGGCACAGGAGGGCCTGGTGGCATTTATCCACTCTGCACCTGGATAGAGGAGACATTGCCATGCTGGCATGGAAGGGTGCATGCCAGGGTGCCACATGCTGCAGCCTGTATCTCCTAGGAGGCAGTGCGCAGCCCCCCTCCATTCTGGAGCAGGGAAACTGAGGCAGACGCAGGGCCAGCAGTCCAGGCCAGCCGGTTGAGCCCAGTGCCCTGGGGAGGGCGCAGAGCCTGAGGCAGGCAGCGGGGAGCCCACAGCCCCTCTCACCTGCCCCACTTCCCCCTGCAGCAGCCGCACCAAGAACATGATGTGGTATGGGGTGCTGGGCACGAAGGAGCTCCTGCAGCGTACCTACAAGAACCTGGAGCAGCGGGTGCAGCTGGAGGTATGGGGCTGGGCGGGGGGAACATGGATGGGGCAGGGGTGCGGTGGCACGGCAGCCCCCCAGGCTCAGCCCTCTCTTGCAGTGTGACGGGGTGCCCATCTCGCTGCCCAGCCTGCAGGGCATCGCTGTCCTCAACATCCCCAGCTACGCTGGGGGCATCAACTTCTGGGGAGGCACCAAGGAGGACAATGTGAGTGCCAGCGATGCAGAGTGTGGAGGGGGGGGGGG